AGGGGGGGGAATTGAGTCTGCTGTACCAGACACCAGACCTTGAGAATATGCTGATCTGGAATGGCTCTGTGTCTCATTTGAACCATCCAATGGAAATGATTCTGTATTTCGCCTCATTTGAAAGACTCTGTGTTTCACCTCATTTGAATAACTCTGTACTTTGCCTCATTTGAATAACCCTGTATAGCGCCTCATATACATTGACCAATGGGAATAGCTCTGTATAATGCCTCATTAGAATTATCCAATAGAATCCTTGCTCCTAGCTTGCGCCTTTTTTCCTATATAAGGACCCCTTTTCCCTTGGCTCGGGGCGCTTAGCCACACAGAAGCTAAGTCGCCCCAGGTACCTGCGTCTCCAATAAAGCCTCTTGTTTTTTGCATCCAGTTCGTGGCCTCGCTGATTCCTGGGTGTGTGGGTCTCCCTCTACGAAAGTATCCCTTCGGGGTCTTTCATAAGCACAGGGTTTACCAGAAAGTGTGAAAGGCCCTGCTTGAGCTTCTTCCAATGCCCTGCCTGTGGCACCATCCTTGGCAATCCTTTTCCACCATTTTCCCTGCACGCTCCCATTTGTATTGTCATATATGTATATAGGAGATTTGCCTGTTTCTATTTGGAGAAATGCAACTTGCATTTTTTTCATTTAATAATACCTGAGGAATTTCCTCATAACTGACAAAGCATAAGAAGAAGTTATAAATTGAAAAAAAAAAGGTATAAATTGGAAGGAACCCTGTCTGTCACCTTCTTCCCCTAAGTCTACCTGCTAACAGCAGGCATCCCAGGGGGGTCTTTACTTTTTTCCTCTTAAAAAACATGTATGTGTGGGGGTATGCATGTGTGAGCATGGGTACCAACAGATGCTGGAAGACAGCATCAGATCCCTGGGTGCTGGGAACAGAACAGAACTCTGGTCCTCTGCAAGAGTAGTACCCACTCTTAGTCTCCGAGCCATCTCTCTAGCCCATCTTCCCCACGGTCACCTTGAGAAGGTTTTTCTTTTCCAAACACATGTGCAATCACAAAGGGGGATGAACGTATATCCCTTCTACCCCTTCGTCTCCTCGTCCACAGGAGAACGCACTGTTCACATTGTGCTGCAACTTGCCTCTGCTTTTCTTTTAACACCAGGGCTTGGGGGGCTTCACAACCCTCGTTTAGCTAAACTCCCCATCTTTTCTGTTTGCTTGTTTTTGTGCTTTTTAAAAGATTTTATCTGTTTATTATGTATATAGTCTTTTGCCTGCATGCCAGCAGAGGGCATCAGATCCCATTTAAGGTGGTTCTGAGCCACTATGTGGTTGCCAGGAATTGAACTCAGGACCTCTGGAAGAATAGTCAGTGCTCTTAACCTCTGCGCCATCTCTCCAGCTCTGTTGCTTGTTTTTAAGACTTAGTCTTGCCATGTAGTGATGGGGGTGTCCTTCTGTAGGCTGTGAATATATGTTTCTCTTATTGGTAGATAAATAAAGCTGTTTCTGTCAATGGACAGGCAGGATTTAGCCAGGTGGGAAATCCAAACAGGGATAGAGAAAGGTAGTAGGAAGAGACAGGGAGATGCCATGTAGCTTCTGAGGAAGCAAGATGCCCCGGGCTTCACCGATAAGCCAACACCATGTGGAGATACACAGACTAATAGAAATGGGTTGATAATTAAGAGAGAGCTAGCCAGTAAGAAGCCTGGGTCATCGATAAAACAGTTTATAATTAATATAAGCCTCTGTGTGTTTATTTGGGACTGAACAGCTGCGGCAGGACAGGACAGGAAGTCCATCTACAAGGTAGCCTGTGCTGGGCTTGATCTCCCTGTCTAGCTTCCGAGTGCTGAGTGCCGGGATTACAGGCATGTGCGCTGATCTTTTAAGACACATATTGTACTTATTTATTCTTTTGTGTGCATACGTTCTTGGTGTGCCACATGCCACGCTGCATGTGTAAAAATCAGAGAAGAACTGGTAGAAGTCAGTTCTCTCTTCCCCGAGGCGGTGCTGGGACTGAACTCAGGTCATCAGGCTTGGCAACGCGCTCCTGTCCCCACTGAGCCATCTTGCTGCCCATCTCCACCGGGCTTTCTTTTTCTTTTTTCACTAAGTTACACAATCCCGTTGTTCAGATTCATCACAATCAACTTAATTTTTATTATTGCCCATTTGTGTTGTTTTTAATTTCTTGATGTTCTAAGGAAGGCTAAGCCAAGTGCTCACGGTTTGTGTAATTAGGATCCTAGTAAAGAATCTGTTGATACCTTTTGTTTTCTTGCAGTGCTGGGGATTGAACCATCGCTTTGCCAGGCAAACGCTGCCACCGAGCTGTATCCCCAACTTCTTTATTTAGTAGTATCTCCTTCCTTTCTCCCCTGTATCTCCCCCGCTTTCTACCATCACTGGGGACCCTATCCAGGGCCTTGTGCATGGTGGGGTAAGTGCTCTGCCACTGTCTCTTCCTCTGGCCAAAGGAGAATTCATCTTTAATGACCCCAGGCTTCCCAATCAGACTCTCTCCCTTTCCCTTTGAGTCTTCTGTGGCTGGCTGCACTGACCCCAGAGCATGGTGATCTGATGACTGTCTTAAGTGGACTTTTAACACTAAGAAATTATTGATTACTCTGTGTGTGCGTGTGTTTGTGTTTGTTTTTGTGTGCATGTGTGTGCACATGTGCGTGTGTGTGTGTGTGTGTGTGTGTGTGTGTGTGTGTGTGAAAGCATGTGCTATGGCACACATGTGGAGGTCGAGGGACAACTTTGTGTAGGTTTTCTTTTTTTTTTTCTTTCCACTTTCATGTCGGTTCTGTGCTTTGAACTTAGGTCGGCAGGACCATATAGCAAGTACCTTGACCTGCCGAGCCATCTCACCAGCAGTTACCTGTTTTGCTTGTTTGTCTTTGCCTGTGTGTATGTGTAGGGAGACATTGCATTGTGTGTCTGCATGTAGAGGCAATGATGTTATCTTGGGGATCTGTCTCCAGTCTGCACCATTCTCTACCTTATTTGGGGGAAGATCAGGTCCCTCGCTGAATCTGGAGCTCACTGACTAGCTGGCTGGCTGGTTTTGCTTCCCAGAGCTGGGATTACAGGCATACGCCACCGTGCCTACGTTTTTACATAGATTCTGGGTCCCGATTCAGGTCCTCATACTTGCTAAGCAAGCACCTTGCCCTTGGAGCCACCTCCCCAGCCCCCATTCTCTGTTTTTTCTTGTCAGCTTATGAGCTCCTTGGGGGCGGGGACTTATCTGCATCATCTCTGTAGTACCAGTGCTCCACCGCACAGGCTCTGCACACAGTAGGCTCTTAATAAGGAGCATGGGGCAGGCAGAAGTGATGGGGGGATGTCCTTCTGTACATATGTTTCTGTTATTGGTTGATGAATAAAACACAGATTGGCCAGTAGCCAGGCAGGGAGTATAGGCGGGGCTACCAGATGAGGAGAATTCTGGGGAGAGGACGAAGAGAGGTGCTGCCAGAGAGACACCATGTAGCTGCTGGGAAGATAGGATGCCCGGGCATTTCTCGGTAAGATAAGGCCATGTAGAAAAATATAGATTAGTAGTTATGGGTTAATAATTAAGAGAGAGCTAGCCAGTAAGAAGCCTAAGCCATTGGCCAAACAGTTTATAATTAATATAAGCCTCTGTGTTAAACGGCCGTGGGACCAGGCAGGACAGAAACTCCGTCAACACAGAAGGGAAATGGACACATAGCCACTCTTATGTGCCGTGGGCATGCCGTCTGAATGAGGCGCAATCCTGGGTCCTTCTGCTCTCACCAGGCCCTTCCATGTGGTGGTGGTGGCAGCAGGGCCTGGTGACAGACTGACAGGAAACTTCTTCCAGCATGGTCCAGGAAGCATGTCTGCTCCTGTTTCAGCTTCATATGTAAGACAACAGGCGTGTCTGCTGTCACCACCCTCTTTGCTGAAGTGCTGTGATTAGCCCAGGGAGGGAGAGCGCCAAGTTGGCTTACCTCGATTTCCTGATAGGAGTTGTTGATCATGGCTATCAGCATGTTGAGCAGCACAACCACCATGGTGACGTTGTAGACGCCATACAGCACGTAGCCAATGTTCTCAATGAATTTGTGGTCGTATTTCAGCACCACCGAGATCACCTCAGACAAGCCAAATATGGACCAAAACAAGGTTTTAAAGCTTTCTTCAACTCTACGAGGAAACAGATGGTCCTTTCATGAAGCCTAAACCAGTTTATATTTTTAAAATTAAAATGCCCCCCCCCCCCCCCCCCCCCCCCCGGGGGGGGGGGGGGGGGGGGGGCCGTCATGCCTACATTCCAAAATACTGGAATACTAAGATTTCTGAGAAGACTCAGCGAGACTCTTACATGGCAATTTCTTCCTTTTAAAATTCAGTTTTGCTGGGGCTCCTGGCTGAGACACTGTTTTTATCCTGCTGTAATTAATCAGACGTCTAAAATTAAACGTGGGGCAAATGTTTGCCCTTGAGTCTCATGAAAGCATGCTGTCCCTTCAGTGGGCTCTCATACGGCTCTTCTCAGGCTACACGGCCTGGTCATGACGTGTGTAGACAGACTGAGCTGGCATTGCCACTTGACACTTTGGGCCTCATTATACTTGGTGGCAGCTGGTGGCAGACTCATGTTTACGTCCATCTATGTGGCCTTGTTGGAGGAAGTGCGTCACTGTGGGGGCGGACTTTGAGGTTTCCTATGCTCAGGATACTGCCCAGTGTCTCAGTCAACTTCCTGCTGTCTGTAAGATGCAGGACCCTCAGCTACCTCTCCAGCACCATGTCTGCCTGCACGCCACCAGGTTCCCACATGCGGATGATGGACTGAACCTCTGAAACTGTGGGTGGCCCACCTCAAGGAAATGTTTTCTTTATAAGAGTTGCTGTGGTCATGGTGTCCCCTCACTGCAATGAAGACCCTAACTAGGGGAGTCAGTTAGAAAACAGGCCAAGGGCAATGTCCACATTGCTCTAATTCTACAGTTGCCACATCTGGTAGGTGCCATACATGCTCCAAAGGCGGGCCAGGGAAGACCTGGCCTTTAGCAGGTTGCTCTTTGACCCTTTGAAGTTACTGAATACGGTGGTTTCAATCCCTGTTCACAGGCCTAACCTTCTGGCTATGGTTCTGTATATTATTACATAGAATCCAATAAAAGAGCAAGATTGTGGATGGGTGCCTTAGCATATGCTTGTGTATTAGGGTTATAAAGTTCAACTCCTTAGTCTGCACCCAAGTTTTCACCAACATTATAAGACAGGACTTTTCTTTTTTTCCTCTTTAACATTCAGATTTTTGACACCCACCCACAAATGACCAGGATTAACTTGAGTTTACCCCACCCCACCAGAGTTTCTTAAGCACTGAAATTTATTTGAGAAACTGTAAAAAAAAAAATGCTAGTTTCCCAACTTGGACTAAAAATCCAGTCTTATCTTGCATGAATTTACAGCTCCCCTGCATGTGAGAATGTGGGGGTGTCTAGGTGTGGGGCGGGGTTAGTGTGTACAGGGGTGTCCGTGTGTGTGTGTGTGTGGTGGGGGTTAGTGTGTACAGGGGTATCTGTGTGTGTGTGTGGTGGGGGTTAGTGTGTACAGGGGTGTCCATGTGTGTGGGGTGGGGGTTAGTGTGCACAGGGGTATTTATATGTGTGTGTGGGGGGATTAGTGTGCACAGCCAGCTGTGTGGCTCATTCCCTGTGCATCCCAGAGTCTGAGAAGCTGGTATTCCACGTGAGTTTGCATTGCTATTGCTTGACTTTTATTTAATCAGGAATTCAGTAGCAGTTCTCACTATGTAGCCTTGGCTGCCTGGAACTCACTATGTAGATTAGGCTGACCTTGAACTCAAACAGACCTGCTTGCCTGTGCTTCTGCCTTCAGAGGGCTGGGGTTAAAGGCATGAACCACTATGCCTGGCTCGGTAGCAGGGTTTGAAGTGAAGACTGGATACAGAGCCATTTCTGCAGAGCTCTGGGTCCCAGTGCTCTTCTAGATAGGGACAAAGGTTTTTTATACAAGTTGTACAATCCATTTTGTGTGAAGACATGGTGTTACTGTGCATGAAGTTTCCCTGAGGTACCATTTCCCACCATGAAGGGATTACTGCTGTCTCCTACTGGAAAGAAACCATGGCACAGAGAATCCCAAATGATGGGATGAGCCCCAGATCCTAAACTGGAAAGAGCCAACAGTTCTCTATCTCTTGCCCAGTTGTCCCTTCTCATAGGATCCAATGAAAAGTGCCAAGCATGCTGTGTGAGGGAGAGCTGGGCAAGGGCTGTGCACTTGTCTGGAACAATAGAAATGGTGGTTAATACTTATGACAATGAGATGTTTCACCCAAACTCATTTTCCATTCTTTACCCTGGATCACCCCGCAGGTCCCCAGTGAGACACTAATGAGGTCACATGGAACATATTCAGGACCAAGCATTTACATTTCAGTTAGGGAAGATGGCTCAGATCCATCATGTGTGGTTGCATCCCCATGATGCTTGCCTCTGAGCCCTCATCTAGTCCCAGCTCATTCATCTGGGCATTCTGTCTGTAACCAGAGTTGTCCACCTAGCAGACTATGTTCTGGTAGTATGTTCACAGTGTGGTCTCTTGGTAAGTGTGTTCACAGTGTGGTCTCTTGCTGTGTTCACAGTGTGGTCTCTTGGTAAGTATGTTCACAGTGTTGTTTCTTGGTAAGTATGTTCACAGTGTGGTCTCTTGGTAAGTATGTTCACAGTGTGGTCTCTTGGTAAGTATGTTCACAGTATGGTCTCTTGGTAAGTACGTTCACAGTGTTGTTTCTTGGTAAGTATGTTCACAGTGTGGTCTCTTGGTAAGTACGTTCACAGTGTTGTTTCTTGGTAAGTATGTTCACAGTGTGGTCTCTTGTAAATGTGTTCACAGTGTGGTCTCTTGGTAAGTATGTTCACAGTATGGTCTCTTGTAAATGTGTTCACAGTGTGGTCTCTTGGTAAGTGTGTTCACAGTGTGGTCTCTTGGTAAGTATGTTCACAATGTTTCTTGGTAAGTATGTTCACAGTGTGGTTTCTTGCTAAGTATGTTCACAGTGTGGTCTCTTGGTAAGTACGTTCACAGTGTTGTTTCTTGGTAAGTATGTTCACAGTGTGGTCTCTTGTAAATGTGTTCACAGTGTGGTCTCTTGGTAAGTATGTTCACAGTGTAGTCTCTCAGTAAGTGTGTTCATAGTGTGGTCTCTTGTGTGTTCACAGTATGTTCTCTTGGTAAGAGTACTCACAGTGTGGTCTCTTGTGTTCACAGTGTGGTCTAAGTGTGCTCATAGTGTAGTCTCCTGGTTAATGTGTTAAGTGTGTTCTCCTGGTAAGTATGTTCACAGTGTGGTCTCCTGGTAAGTGTGTTGACAGTGTGGTCTCCTGGTAAGTGTGTTGACAGTGTGATCTCCTGGTAAGTGTGTTGACAGTGTGATATCTAAAGTAACAGCTCAGTTCTCATCCTGACCTCAATCCAGGGTGTTTGACATCCTCTGTACAGCGGAAGGATTGACCTCTGAACTTCCACTTAGCCTTATCTCTAGGGATTAATTACAAGAGTCCCAGACTCTTAGGGATTGCCAGAGTGGAAGCCTCCTCTCCAGAGGGGTAATCCCCCACCCCTGACTGGCTGGGAAGGGGCTTAGCTAGATTGTAACAATTTCTTCCTGGCTCTTGAGGAAAAAGTTTGCGGCTCTGTCTCCTCTTTGCATGAGGCAAGATGAGCTGAAGTAACAAACAGATTGTCTTTCAAAGAGAAGGTGGGCTCACTGATCAAGTCAGGACATTAGAACCCATGTAGGCTGGGCTTTGTATCTGGACCCAGCCAGCTGCATAGGGAGGGGCTCCATAGTGTACGCACTGGGAACAGACTAGTGTTTGCTATTATTATTGGAAGGCGAACCTTACTGGCTGATTTATGGCAGATTATCTAGGCTTAGTTGTGAGTGGTATCATATTTTATCTAGATTGACATAATCTGAATAGATGGAATTGAAAAGTTAAAATTGGAAAAAATTCCTACGGCCAACACTAGCATATGATGTTGTTGAGAATTTGCTAGATGATCTTGGCTTGGGGAGAGTTTCAGAAACTATGAATACAAACATCGAGAGATCCAGTTACAAAAGAAATTAGCTCCCGAATGTCAAAAGCACAGTGAATCAGAAACGAGTGGGAAAAGGACAGACACACTTGAGTCTGCAACGTCAGCCAATGGACACACTCTAGTTTGCAACGTCAGCCAATGGACACACTCGAGTCTGCAACGTCAGCCAATGGACGCACTCGAGTCTGCAACGTCAGCCAATGGACGCACTCGAGTCTGCAACGTCAGCCAATGGACACACTCTAGTTTGCAACGTCAGCCAATGGACACACTCGAGTCTGCAACGTCAGCCAATGGACACACTCGAGTCTGCAACGTCAGCCAATGGACACACTCGAGTCTGCAACGTCAGCCAATGGACGCACTTGTATCTGCAACCTCAGCTGATGGCTCAGAACCTTCCCTGTCCGTTTGACCAGATGCCCACCTAGAAGCCCCTTAAGGTAGGAAGGTTGTATCTGGACTCATGGCTTGGGAAGATATCATGGTGGCAGGAGAATGAGGCTGTTTGCTCCAGTCTCAGTGGTCAGGAAGCTGGTAGGGACACAGATGAAGCCCGGGTCATTTCTCCAGCCAGCCCCATCTCCTAAAGGTTCCATAACCACCTACACAAACACATGAGCCTGCGGGTCGGGATATCTAAATTCAAACCATACAGCCAACAAGACAGTCTCACATAGCCCAGGCTGGCTTTGAACTCAATATGTCGCCAAAGCTGGTGGCCTTGAACCTGAACCCACTGCTTCCACCTTCCCAGTGCGGGGACCACAGGTTTGTGCCAACATACTTGGCTTCATAACACTTCTATGAAGCAGTATGAGACCAACAGACATTCTAAGAAAGAAAAGGGTGTGTTTGTTGGGGAAGTGCCAACGAAAAATGTATGCTTTTTAAAGTGCGAGAGCTTTACAATCGACATGAGATGCCATCTTCAGTCTAAGGTGTGGCAGGAATAAAAGAAAGAGAAGAAACTCAGTCTCACTGCCCTCAGTGGGGAACAATTTGTGTTACTCACATCTTGGAAGCCTACATAACATATCCTTAGAGAAAGAGTGGTCTTT